TAAGTCAATTCATGAACTGTCCTACTGAGGAACATATGGGAGCTGTCAACCGTATCTTAAGATACTTAAAGATGACACCTGGGAAAGGATTATTATTCAAAAGGAATGATAGTCAAAAGGTAGAAGTCTTTACTGATGCTGACTGGGCAGGAGATATATCCACCCGACGATCAACCTCTGGGTATTGCTCGTATGTATGCGGCAATCTAGTGACATGGAGAAGTAAAAAGCAATCGGTGGTATCTCGGAGTAGCGCAGAAGCAGAATATAGAGCACTGGCACTTGGTATCTGTGAAGGAACGTGGATCAAAAGATTTCTCAAAGAACTTGGAATTATGGGAGAAAATTCTATCAACATGTTCTGTGACAATCAAGCTGCAATAAGTATCGCAAAGAATCCTGTTCATCATGACCGAACGAAACACATTGAGATTGATCGGAACTTCATTTCAGAGAAGGTGGACAATGGAATCATTGAATTGGTCTATACTCCTTCTAGAGACCAAACCGCAGACATTCTCACCAAGGCTCTCCCTAAGTCCAGTTTTGATGAGCTAACCAACAAGTTGGGCATGTACAATCTGTACAACCCATCTTGAGGGGGAGTGTGGAATTACGCTCATTATTATTTACTTTAATTCTATTTAGTACTTGTTATATTTAGTCATAGTATAAAAAGAGTAATTCTTAATTATAGGTATTTATGTTTATTCCATAATTATAGGAATTACTTAATTATAGGAAGATTTCTTTCCTCGTTTTATCTCTTGTACACACTTATTTATAGGTGAATTATCTATGTATTCATTGAGAAGAAAGTTATTCAAAATTCACAGAAAACAATATCAATTTATCCCCACAGCAGGTAAACATCTATCCCAATTCCTATCCCACATAAACCTCTGAACAGTAAGTCATAATTTCTCCCCACAGCAGGTAAACATATATCAACTTCTCCCCACAACAGGTAAACAACATCAATATAAAAAAACAAACCAATTCAACAGAACAATAAAGTACCTGTAGAACCCAAGTTCCGAAGTATCTTCTGAGGACCTCGAAGAACTAACGCTAGAATAGGAAGCTGACCCTGGCGCTACCGCAGTTCCAGAATCCACCATCCGCAGGTAGTGGCAGAGGATGCCCAAATGTGAAGGCACTCTCCGAATCCCCGCAGCAGTTACTCGAGACGGCCTCTCTAGCTTGCTTACCCAAAAGAACCCCATCGAAGCTGTTAGCCTTCCCCTTCCTGGCCTCCCGCCGATACTTGGGAGTCAACGAGCACTCCACTTTCCCCCTCCCCCTCCTCCTCCTCCCCCGAATCACGTCGGTTACTCAATTTCGAGGGCAAGGGCGAGAAGGGAATGGCGAGGGCGAGGGAGAGACGGGAAGTGCGAAGGCGAGAGAGAGACGGGAAGGGCACCACAAGAAATATAACCCTAAACGCTAGAAGCATAAGCGGAACGGAGCTCCAGGCCAGATTGCAGAATTATTAAGGAATTAGCGATATTAAAACGGAGCGGTAAGAAAACGTACCAGGCGAACGCACTATTCAAACGAAACGGCGGCGTTTTCAAAACGCCACCGCACCCTATAAGCTGCCCCAAACGGACCCTTACTCAAGCCTATGGGGTCAAGTAACATGAGACATTCGCACTAGTTGCCAAATTGGACATTATCAGAGTTCCCGTTTCAGTAAAAATTATGAAGGAATGAGGCTGCATCAACTTTATATAATAATATATTCATGAATGGGGATTTGGAAGAAGAAATGTACATGAAGATACCACTATGACTTGAGAATAATTCCAATAAATACCTAGTACACAAACTCAAGAAGTCCCTTTATGGACATAAATCCAAGGGTGTGATTTGAGCGGTTTGCTAAAACTATGAGCTCTAATAGATATTCTTAAGATCAAGTTGATCATACTCTATTCATAAAAGACACTCGGAGAGGTAAGATTGATACATTGATAGTACATGGGAATGATATGATTCTTACTGGTGATAAAAGAAATATTCTTAGGATTGAAGAAGTACTTGCTATTGAGTTTGAAATCAATGACCTAGGAACTAATAGATATATTTTAGGTATATAAATAGTAAGTTCCTAGAAAGGCATTGGTATATCACATAGAAAGTACATCCTAGACTTACTAAAGGAGAGAGAGATGATTGGATACAAACCTGCTCATACTCTAATAAAGCCCAACAAGAAGTCTAATAGGCAAGAAGAAATTATACATTTGGATAAGAAAATATATCAAAAATTGGTTAAAAAACTCATCTAGCTATCACATATTAATTCATATATAACATACTCTGTCAGTATTGTGAGCAAGCACATGAATAACCCAAATAAAGAGCATTTGAAGATGGTGTACCAGATTCTAAGGATTCTCATGAAGAACCCGTTATGGATTAATATTTGAAAAAACAAGAAACATAATGGTAAAAAACAACACCGTGCTAGTCGGACTAGAAAACTCACTGGCATAAAATCCACAACAGGTTATTTCTCCCATGAATGGAGAAGTATAGTTACATAGAGAAGTAAGAAGCAAGCCACTATTTCTAAAATCAGTGTAGAATTAGAGTATAAGGCACTCGTCTTAAGAATTTGTTTAAGGAATATGGATTTAAAAATTATTAAGGGAATTGGGGTGTATCTCAATAGGCCTATAGAAATGTTTTGAGACATTCACACAGCCAACAGTATTGTCAAGTATCTTATGCATCGTGACAGGACCAAACATATTGAACTTGATAAGCACTTTATTTTTTAGAAGGTTTAATGGTGGAATTTACAGCTAAGATGCATCCCACCACACCAACAAGTTGCTGGTGTCATTATTGAGACTCTTCCTTTAAGCACCTTCTCAAAGTTCAATATCATGTTTGGTCTCTACAACATCGACCCAACTTGAGGGGGAGTGAAAATTTAGGAAGGTGTGCCAGTCAGCCACCTCAAAGATAGTGGAGGATTTGATTAGGGAAAAATTTGGAAACCGTTGATTAGTTTATTTATTTCGTATTTATGTTATTTTATATTTATTTTAGAATTATTTCCTTTCCTAATTTAAATTAGATATATTTAGTAAGTTAGTAAATTAGGAAATACAGGTTTCCCTATATATATGTACCTTATGTGTGGATAATGAAAGGGAATTTTTTTCCTCCTAAAGTATGTTTTCTTCACCATCAATCTTAATCTACATCATAGCAAATAGTAGGGCATCCAACTTCATAAGGTCACCTTAATTAAAGGCATAGACAGCGAGAAAAGAGTCATCAATTTCATGCATGGGTATCTAAATCAACTGATTTTTTTAGTATGTAAATAATGAAAATTAGAATCATCTAAATGAATCAGATTATTTCTAATATTAAAAATTTAAGTAGTACTTTTAGTGATGGGAATAACAAGAAATTTTTTTTTCTAATAAGTTCGATAAAAAATTACTTAGAATATAAATCAACAGTTTCATTCCTGAACTTACATTTGATGCTTATCACATTTAGAAGTAATAATATGGAGAATGAGTTTTCCGAATATAAAAGGATAGTGTGAGTAATCATTAAAAAATCAAGTCTATGCATTCAAATAAATTACATGGGTATTTTAAAATTGGGGCATCTACAAGCAGAGCACAGAATTCTTATATATTTACATATCTAACACCAAAACATTCATATTTACTTGCATGCCACTCAAATCTTTAACATCACATCAAAAATAACACTTTCACTATTTTTTTAAAAGTAAAATACACATTTTCATGCATAGGTTTATGATACCAAGGTGTTATAAGTGTAGATATCATAATTTGGGTGTTAGATATTTAAATAGATGAGAATCATGTTGTATGTATGCAAATTTTCCTTTAAAATATGTAGGTCGAGCAGTTCCAAAATGAAAGAATAAAGGCACCTGCTCTTGAGATAAAATACGGAGGAAGCTCCCCAAGGGCTGTTCCAAAGCCCCAAAGAACGGCCTCTAGCTGAACTTGAGGGAGTATGCTGCTGATTGGAACCCGAACCAATGAACCATGTAATGACGAAAACATGGGAGGACCATAGATTGAGCAATCATTTTCAAGCCATGAAGGCTTTTTATTGAATTGTATGGTATCATATGGAGCGGATTTAAAATCAACTCGTCCACATTTCATGGCTTTTATGGTGAAAAAAGCGATATGAGGTCCCAAATACAGAACAAATGTGTGCAAGCCAGACCCTATCATAGCACAGAAAAAGGAGAAGATGGTCAGCACTCTGGAAATTTGAGCAACAAAGAACATGTATAATTTTTTAAGTTAAACTAGTGAATGCTCAAGTTGAGTTAACCGAGATCTACAAGCAGAAGTTAACAGTGCAAAAACTATCTTTCAGACCATAAAAGCCTTAATAGAATCTAAGTCAATCTAGTTAATCAACATTCAAGAAGAGAACCAAAAAAAAAACCAACAAGACAACTTTTGGAGTCGCACTTCTTGTATTTGTATGAGTGCTGGCGGGCATAAGACAGATTCCAATTAAAATAAGAACATCAGATCTCACATATTTAATGAAAACCATGTGACACTAATAAGACAAATAATTGGATAAGTTTAAAAGTTGACAGAAAGAAAAACCATACATCGACTATGAAGGTGAAACTTGCAAGCCGTAATTCTTCCCTTTTACCAAAAAAATGGTACTCTGATTGCTTCTACCCCATCTTCTTTTGCAATCGAACTTGAAGAAGAATAGAAATGCAAGTTTCTGAGGGTAATAAACTCATACATAAGACAAGCCATCTACCTGCTACAATCACTTACCCTCATTCTCGAGTTTTGCCCATTGGGCGACTTACTAGAAATATTAAATAGCAAAGCTCAAGGTCATGAAGTTGCAATATTTTTCCTTCACTCATATATCAATAAGTTACAGATCCTTGTGGTAACTTAAACAGATATCAAGTTGTGTTTATGCTTCGCAACCTCACAAGCCATCTCTTAATTAAGTCGAGAATACGAGTCATGTCTCAACCAGCTAAACAAAATAAGTAGTCTTATAATTCTCAGAACAAGTTGCCAAAAAAGTGTTAATGTAAGCTACATAATGAACTGGGGGGTATAATAAAAATTAAACGAGGATCAGCATTTTGATATTCCAAAACAAAAATAATAATAATAATAACCACAAAATCATTGAATGCTAAAGCTGAAGCTATCAGTGTAAACTTACCAAGTCCAATCGATGAAGCCACCCCAAGTGCAACCCACCACAATGCATAGCTGAAATAATTAAGGAATTCCTGAACATGCTGCACCAGAAATGCCAGATTTAGTGGCGTTAATAACAAATAAACAAAGCTGCTGAAAGATGAGTTAGCTTGAAATAGCCATTAAAAATTTGCTATAATTTCAAATACCACCTTTGTAATCACAGCAGTTTCCATAAATTATATGCTTGAAACAAAAATAAATTTCAGCTAAACAAAACCGCAGCACAATGAGCACCCAAAAACGTGATCAAATGAAAGAAACCAAAACATGAAAAATCAAAAATAAAACCACTAAAGTAGTGAATCCACTCAAAAAAGATGATACCTCATGTGAGCCATCAACAGCAATAAGAAATCCAAAAGCCCCTAGAAATACACTGAACAATACAACCAAGCCACCTTTCCGGAAGAGGTATAGAAGCAATTGCTTTAGATATGCGACAAGGGCAAAAGAAAAAAACAGTAGTGTCTTAAATGGCTGTGTAGTCAGCGTCAAATTCTGAGCTTCCATTTGGTATTTTAGACGAAGCTCTGCAAAACCACGCATGTTCAGTGGAAGAAAAAGGAAAACTGACAAACAGAACAACTTATATTCATTTTTGTTGGAAAATTCATCATGCAAACAAAGTAATCACAATTTTATTAGCCATAAAATAATATAAGAACACATGAATATTGATCACTAGAAAACTGCTCAAAACAATAAAATATTAATGATATCATTGATGATGAACGGGATGCTTCTTCACTTCTATTTCTAGTTTGTGACTTGTGGTCTTCTATAGAGAATTAAGGGTAATTTAGGTACAATGACCTGCAGCTCCCTTCAATCTCCACCCATGACTTGCATGCTCTTATTGTTCTGCTCGGACCTTGTTCTACATAGGTTTTGTAGATCATGTGATTTCGTTAACTAATTTTTTCATCTGCAGCTTTGAATTTACATGGATCTCTCGAATACAGGATATGGTTACCAATTCTATCTTTGTAATTGTACCTTGAGAGAAACTTATCGATACTGCTATTTAAAAGGTGGCATGTAATTTTACAAATATATGATTCTAAATTTTAATTTTGAAAAATAATCTCAATTATTCATTATCTACGTTACTTTAAAAAGTATATGGAATTCTCATGATTTTAAGGAAAAAAGATTGTGTTGAGATATCCTAATGCAATATCTTAAAAGCCCATATATTTGCGATGATATTAATGGCATTCAAAATATCAACATATCCAAGGGCTTTGAAGTCCATCCTGACACATCTTTTGTTAGGATATTCTTATATAATTTTTGTTGAATTTTAAGAGTTAAAATCAAAAGCAACTAGTGGTTTTTATAAATGTATTATAAGTAGATCATGTATTTATGAAGTATATAAAAGATTCGAGAGAAAACCAAGAGTTCAACCCAATTTTGAATGGTGACAATTATATAACTTTGTCTTAACTCTACAAGTAGAATTGAAAATACCTAAAAATCTATATGAAGCTTATATACGCCATGAGATCATTTTGGAATGATAAGCCAAACCTATTTGAGCATAAAAACTCTGACTAATAATTTTAACTTCCTTGTTTAGCTTTCTATATGGCTCTATTTCATTTATATTCTATCATAATTTACTTGCAATCTTCTTATTTTTCAATTACTTAAGAGGCAAAAGAAAATACTTCTAACTTTGAATATTTACTTTATTTCAACTTGTTTAATTTTGGAAGTTATTTCTTTTCCTATCATACCTTTGTTTGCGAGTTTTGGTTCATAATTATTCTTTTAACTTGAATGCAAGCAAATATGTTTTAATTAAAGACAATCACTTTGCCGATAAATTCCTTCATGGATCAAGGTCATTTTCTTCTAGTGGTATGGCTTGTTTTCCTCTAATTCTTTAAATCCATGAATTTGCCGATTCTTCCTTTTTATACTGCTCTGACAAAATCTACATGTTTAATTTATGAATTAAATACAAGGCATGGAGTTTTACTAGAGATTTACTTTGATTAAAAAAACTAGTTGTGGAAAAATATGAAACTAATAAATTGATGTAGTAGATGTCTTGTTTAAAATTGCGCAATCCGGGGTGCACCTTAAAGCCTACCTCAGCGCAATTATGAAGAAAAATGCTTTCGGACGTATACCTCGAGCAGCTCGGGCAAGTCATATGCCTCAATTGGTTGAGGTGCGCCTGTGCACCTCTCGCGCTTAGGATTTTCTCCTCCAACATTAGACAGTTTGAATATGAATCGAAAACACACTCTCATGTGCAAGAACTCCCCTCTCCTTAGTCAAGCTTCCAAGCATCATCGCCAGTTGTACCGCACCGCCTGCATTGTTGCCGCTGCTTCCATCGCTAGCATTTCCACCGTTGTTGCCATTTCCACTACAATGATCGCCTGGCTCTTTTGTTATAAGCCTGTTGCTCCTGTTATAGCTACCATAGTTTGTTGCTCTTACTACCACCACCACCGTTAGTAGCTTTTGTTGCTACCACCATCACCTGCAACTCCAACTTATGCTTATATATTATGTTCTTATTTAGATTTATGAATGTTTTATGTTGATTGAACAATAAGTGATAGAAGCCTACTATGTTTAACTCATCTTATATCTTACTTCGATATTTTATATTACTTTCATTTCATGTTTTATGTTAGTTTGATGACTTAACCAGTTGATGTTTACACTATATTTTTATTTGTGCAAGTTATAATATGATATTTTACAACTTACGTAGTTTCTTAATTTATATAAAACAATTTGCCACTTTTTATCATGCTAGAATGTTAATATATTTCTTTAATATATAATATATCATTTTTACCCCTTTATTTTGACTTAATTTCAAACAATGAAACTACACCTTAAACTGCATCAAGGCTTATGCCTCGCCTCACGAAAGAAAAACACCTCAATAACCAATTACGCAATTTTAAACATTGAGTAGATGGTTCTCTCAGAGTATTTCAATAATATTTATAAAATTTGTAGCATGTCTGATAACTAACTTTAAAGGCGATAACATCTCCTATTCAACATCCTTTTTACTTTAATTCAATTCTTAAGTGATATCATTTTTTCTTATAGGTTTAATTAATATTCTATTTTGATTACATATTATTTCCCCCATAACTTTGAGAGGGTTGAATGTGATTCTTCCAAATGTTGTATTACTAAAAAAATGTGAATGAGGGAAGTTATTTCCTTGTATTGCGGAGGCCTGGACTGTTATTTTGTACTTTCTTTACTTTGTTTGATTTTAGTACTTTAATTTTAACTATTAACCTGCCTATGTAATTGAATATTATCAATATAATGCAAATTGATAATTTTGCTGTGGTGCTATTTTGCAATCAAACATATGATTCTTTTATGATCTTATATTTCAATACAAGATTTATATCATATAGTTGTCAAATTGTCATTTGCGTTTGGTGAATAGTTGTCTAAATTATAAGTTTGTGACAAGGAATTTGACCTTGTGTGCATAACTTTGTGCACTTCCTCTTTAGTTTGCATTAGTAAATTCTAAACTTTAGCACGCCCTACATCGAGTTTGATATCAAATGTTAACGTTGTGTCATAATGTCCACTATAAAGCATGAAAAGTTGATAACTAGGTCAATTAATAAAACAATAAAATAACACAATTAAATAAAACTAATTAAGCCATGCTTTAGGCAAATTCAACATTATTACTTTGAGATCCGAAATTATAATCCAAGAATTGATAAGAGAAATAACCTGAGAAAACCTACAAACTAGATCAATAGCTTAAAAGATTCTTTTAAAGTTATGATGTTTGATTCATAAAGAACTGAATTGCTATGTAAAATTAATTGAACATGCTAAATAATACTAGCAAAGAGTTGCTAAAACATAACATTAAAGAAAAATATTTATCCTTTAGTAAATATCAGGACTCAATGCATGATCAACTTGAGATATTTAAACAAGATGACTATATTGTGTTTAAATATTATATAGCATTTAAAGATCATATAGCTAAGTAGTATTTGCCTCTAGATTACTGCGTTAATTATTTCATTAATGGTCTTAACCAACAAATTAAAAAAACAATTAAATTAAAATTCATAAAAAAATAAAAACTACAAGAGGCTTAATATAGAAGTTTGGTGTTGAGGAATATTACTATAGTTTTATTAGGACTATATAATTATGATTAACACTTCCAAGGAAATACTATTACCAACTAAACTAGAGCTAACCAAACTAATAACGACCCAAAAAAAAATTTCATCTTAAATCTAATCTGAATCTTGTGGTTTAGATGCATAAGAATATTTATATGTACAATATGATTTTTTTTTAATCTAAATCAATAGTTACATTAGAACATGTTCAAAAATCTGAACCTAAATTTGAACAAAAGTTATAATTTAACTTTGAGCCAAAATTAAAGACAAAATGACACATGAAAATTAACATTTAATGGCGATTGAATATATGTCTGAATATAAAATTGAGCAAATTATACTTCTTGAGGTTAGAGATTGATGAAACAATTGAAGAAACCAATAATTCACTTCGAATAAAACATCTATTAAACATAACGCAATATAAATCAATCAATTATATAAATTTTATTTTTTGTTGCTGATTTCTTAATTTAAAATTTCATAAAAGAATCCTATTTGAGCAAATAAACTTGCAACAACATACTCATGATAACCACCTTCGACAAAATAAAAAATTCAAATATGTTTGATTAAAACCAAAAGTGCAAGATTCATAATGATTAATTCTCAAGGAACTTGACTAAGTCTTATTTGAAAAGATTGTTTGTCCATATAGATATATCATAGTTGTTTAATTCAACCATTATCAAAATAAAAATTTGAGAAACTTAATACATTAATTTTAGTTTTTCTTCCTCGTCGTTTTGTTAATAAGTTATAATGTACTCATTAGCATTCATTAGAAAGCATATAAAAATTTTATCATTTTTTTTTTTTGAATTACATCATTAGGATCATTCATTTGTCATTTACATGGTTGCATGAACAAGATGTCTTACCGTCATTGCCAAGAAAGAAAATTTAACTTTTAGAAGTTCTAAGAGATCAACTTATCCCTTAAGAAAAGGTAGGATGGGAGCCACAAGATGAGAAAGAGCAACCATAATGCCAAAATTGACGCATCTCCAACTCTTCGGTCAATTCCATATAAAATGTACATTGGTATTGAGTTTGATGAAAATTATAAAGCTAAAGCATCATTCCAAAAATCAAATTTGAGGCATATCAATCTAGGCTACAGTCTGGAAAAGTACGAGAGATTAAAATTTAAACAATTAAAGTTTCAATCTAATGATTATGTGGGAAGTGACAAAATAAGAAACTATCTTCCACAAATGTATTTGTCATTATGGAAAATTTGAGCTTACTGATGATGTGAATTGAAGATAGATATAATTCAAATTAGATGATAAGATGAAGGTTTGTCTAAATTTTGAAAGAATACAACAATATTCCTTAATAAATTAACTACTAGAAAATATAGATCATAAAATGTCATACAAACTCGGATGAATACTCACAAAGTTTGAAGAATTAAAAGTTCGGTTTAATCTATATCCAATTTGATTTTATATAATGAAACAAACACCAATTTTTTGGATTCTACTCCCTTTCAATCTCTCCTCCTGAATTCAAATTCATATCATCATCTACACAATTCTCAAATTCCTCGTGTTATGTATATCAGAAGTGTCTTTTGAGGTAGCAAAACAAACTTGTACATGATGATTCACTAATTTCTTCAGAGAATACAAAAGTTAAAGTCAAATCTATATGGTAAACATTATTTGAGCAGTTTGTTGCATCGAGTTTCTTTTAAGTTGAGGACATTGATATAAAACTCTACGTTGGCTACCTCCATTGTAAATTAAAGACTTGCGACCATCGATTAAAGATTTTGGATAATGTAGGTATCATAACTTGCTACTCCCTCTAATCTCCCCCATGGCTTGCATGCACCTACCGTTTATTCCTTGACTTTGGTGGCCCACGTAGTTTCCTTATATAGAATTTTCATTTACGGCTTGCATTCCCTACATATTTCTCAAAAATGAGATAAAATTATCATTACTATTTTTTATTAAGTTGAGGCGGCTTGTGATCAAAAGATTGTTTAAGAAAATTGAAAATTACTTTCATTACTATTCTAATGTGATTATATATTATTTTCCTCTTTGCTTGAAATTCTTGTTAGGTATGAATCATTCTAGCTTTGTACAATTGAAACTATAGGTTTTCGGGAGAAGTGATCTCATACCAACAGAATGAACAATTTTTATTTGGTGGCTTCATTCCTTTGTTCTATTTTAAATCACTAATTTTAATTTTTTTATTGTACGTTTTTTAGAAGATAATAACTTATCTACATATTATATATTAAAGGGGGTACAATGCCAATTATAGAGAGACATAGAAAAGGGCAAACATAAGAGATAATGGACGGTACTCATGAGTTTTTTTTTTTCATTAGACAGGTATAAATTTGGTAATTTGTGTGGATTTTTTTGTATTTCTATTTTAAATTAAAGTGGCAAATATTGTCTAGAAAAGTTTGCGTCAGAAAATTTGATCTTCTATGCATGTTTATATGCACTTCATCTAGATATACGTTAGCTAGCCAAAAAGAAGTCATGTATTTTCATTTTTCATGTGTGTGTGTGTGTGTGTGTGGTGGGGGGGCGGGCGGGGGGCACAAGTGGACCACAAGATTTAATAACTTAATACATGTTGAAGTTCCACTCCTTTAGTTTGATTTAAGAAACTTCAACCTTAGTATTCCAAACCAAAAGCTTTGAAAAAAATTAAAAAGAAAATATCATTGCAGAAACTTCAAATCTATAAATCTATGAGGCAACTTTAAAGCCAAAAAAACGAAAATGTTAATTTTGATGGGCCTAACTCCTGGTCGCATCTTAATTTATAAGTTCCCCACTTCCTCAATATGAAATACTAGTGCTTGAATAGGATTAAAAGGTACCTCACGTAATTTTCTTTTTAGAAGTTAGCATGTAAATACCTCATTTTATAATTAAAATACAAAAAGAGAAAATGAAGTATTCTTCATTGCTTACAAAGGACTTAAAGTTGTCCTTTCAAAATAATTGGGAAAGGTATTGCTAGAATATATATGCTAGTATGAAAAATGCTACGAAGAATGAAAATTGACACAATAAACAATACAAACTAGCCATAAATCTTATAATAAAATGATGTGGGATGTCCTAGAGCCAAAGTTAAAATAGTGATATGTAAATCTAAGGGGAGATGCAATGGATCAAGCGCAAAAAATCTATTTCATAATCAACAAAATTTTATTTCAGAGAAAAATTTATCCCTTTTGTTTTTTTTTTTTCCAAAAAAAATCAAAAACATCAAATAGTCGCCCCAAACAATATTTTAATGGTTACCAATTAGAAATTTGATCGAGAAATTCAAAATCAATGAAAATCTTGTGACAATTAGAAATGAAAAAATTAAAATTTTAAAAATAGAAGTTCAATGTGAACTTTTTGGCATATTCAATCAGCATTCAATCACAAAAATGAATTAAAATAACAAGAGAAAATGCTATTCAAAATATGAACTTTTTGGCATGCTTCATATACACAAAACCTAGTCTCAAATCTTAAAAATAAAAGTTCAATGTGGAGATCCAAGTTTCATTTTTTTTTTCCTTAAAGTAAAAAAGAAAAAAGCAGTGAATTACTCCGTTGCTGCACCTTCTTCTATCTGTCTACAAAAGCCAGCTAATGCTTTGTTGATTTAAGAATTTCAAAAAATAAATAAGCATGCCCATCAGCCCTATCCCAATAGATGTGCCTGATTTGGCTCAAATTTCAAGCATTTGACTTGCTCTTAACCATTGTAACTGTGTATACTATTTCATGCAGCGCCATCCTGATAATTGAAAAAACATTATTTTTTAGGATGTTCAAAATAGACATGTTACTATAAGTATGCTCCACGAATTTGTCCGAAATTTTGAAAAAGAGCTTGAAAACTACACAAAATCGATTTCAATATGTGCTGCATTACATATAACCCCAAAAATACTGATTTGCTAATGCTAGAAAATATCAAATTGATGATAGAGAATACAACAAACGGAAAAAAAAAAACATAACAAAAGATCTTTATCTACCAGTCCAGTAGATAACACGGTTGATCACAAAAGCTAGGGTTCCCAACATAGAGTTGGGAAAACACTGCACTTATGAACTTCTTATGCAATAGTTGAAATATTTAGAGTGGATACCATCTTTATATAAAATTTTAAAAAAGAGTGGGAGAGTTTGGGAAAATAATTCCTCTCTGGAGCTGACTAAGTAAACAGCAAGAATGAATTAAAACATAAAATGACAATTTTAAATGCCTTGCTCAAATTTATCCTAAATTTTATGACAAATCAAGGGGAATACATGCACTTTTGTGCTATATGACTAAGAAAAGGATCTCTAGTTCCTTGCCATCAATTTCATCTCTCAGTACTTCTTTCATGACTACTTCAAACATCCTACTTTAAAGTACCCTTCTATAATTTTAGTAACTATCTGCAACCCCAATCTTCCTTCCCCTCTTCCTTTAGCACTAAAACCTGAGGGCATACATAGCGCAAAAAATATATAGAACAAAAATCCCAATTTTGGACCCGTAGTCCAACAGGAAAGCTGATTTCTTCCATCTTCTCTAAAATGAAATTACAATATACCCTAACCCATAGCATTAACAACAGCAGTTTAAAACCTTCCACAAACATCTAATCGCTATAGTTCATTATTATCATCTTATCCTAAAGAACATTCAAACTGCAGCCTGCCATAGAATTTTTCCACTGCATAACATAAAACATAGATCAATCCATGGAGAGCACCAATCCATACTCAGATTCAAATGCCCTCCTAGCGTATTACCAAAGTAGCACGCCAAATCTTATATGTACATAAAAGTCTGAAAAAAAATGACATCGAGAAAAAGATCCGCTACCTATGATTGAGGCATCGACATCATCGGCCGAAGAAGATGACGCAGCATCCATCGAAGAGCTCATCTCCCGAAATGAGTAAGAGATGTCAAAACCTAGGGCTTCTCTAGACCGATTAGAAAATAAGGCCACCGGATCTAAAGACAAGACCCAGTAATGGGATGAATTGAAACTCTGAGCTAGAAACAACACCAGGATTTCTAGGGTTTCCGTATCGGAGTGCTGCTAATCCAGCGCGAAGGAATCCATTGCTTCAAAGAAAAATTGCAATGGCATCAGAGAATTTTATACTTCTCCGTTTACGCGCACGTTAAAAAGAACGGGTACCGAAAAGGAAGATTTGCATCCATACCACTTCATTTCTAACATTTACATGTCGTCCACCTAAACTTTAGTTTTTACATACATAATAAAAACTAAAATGGCCATAGTTTTGTTATGCGATAGGAAAGCTTTAGATGGTAGAAGTGTAAAAAGTAAAATTTGGTTTGATTCAGGGCTCTAAACGAGTAGAGATTATTAAGTTCGTCGTCCGGACGTCGAACTGCGTAGGCGCAATGGCCGTAATAATTTTTCATAACCGAGGGGAAGGTGAGCTCAATTTCTGGCTGTGAAAGAGCCAGCGAGCTCAACCTCGGCTCATTCGAATTTGGCTGGTGTTTAAAATAACTCGTGAATTGTGCTCGTGTTTGGCTCGAATAAGATATTATTGTTCGTTTCGACTTGAAATTAATGTTAATTGCCGCAACAGTGTAATTTGTGTGTTTTTTGCGGTAATAACATTGTAATATCACATCAAATAACATTACAATAACACCGCAAATAACACTCCAAAAATACCATTGTCACAGGCTTTGTGATGTTATTTGAGGTAAATCGTGGTGTTATTGGAGTGTTTTTTGGAGGTGGTGTCATTGTGGTGTTATTGCGGTGTTCTTCGGTGTTATTATGGTGTTATTTGAGGTAACATGCGGTGTTATTGGCATATTCTGGCAGAGGCGTTATTCGAGTTAATTTGCGGTGCTATTGCAGTGTTATTGTGATAGTATTGTGGTATTATTACGGCGTTATTTGTTGTAACAAGCGGTATTATCGGTGTGTATTCAGCATCAGTGTTGTTCGAGTAAATTTATTGTGTTATTGTGGTGTTATTATGATGTTATTGCAGTCAAAACACACAAATAACACCGCCGCAGCAAAAAAAAAATTGCGTGGTATGCATGTAAATGTCCAAAATAAAAATATATTTATTATGTAATATAAGAATTTGGTGTTATGTATGTAAATATATTTATTTATTTCTTTTTTAATCAATTCGAGCCGAACAAGAGCGAACAAATATTTATTCGTATTTGACTCCTTTATATTTCGATCTTTAAAAATTTATTCGTGTTCGCCTCATTAAACAGCCAAACACGAGCTATTCGCGAACAACGAGCCAAATTGACAGCCCTAGTTTGATTTATAAATACATAAGAATTTTGTGGTAGGTATGTAAATGTCCAAAAAATAGGGGTGTTTTTTTTTCTCAAATATATAAAATTAATTATTAAAATATAAATTAAATTATTGCCCGACATGATTGGAAGAACTTGTAGGTTTGTACAAACCAGATGGCGTGAAGCAAGTTTAGCCAGACGATCCTTTTCATCCCAAATTTAGATAAATGGATTTTATTAAAATTAAAGAAAAATAAAGATATTTACATGCATACCACTCAATTTCTATGTATTTACATATTCATCATTTTACTCAATTTTTGCATACATGTAAGGTTAAAATGGTGATATTTTTAATATGGTTTTAAATATTTTGGGGGCATAAATGTAAAAACTAATGTTTAGGTGTTAGAGAGTATTGTTCGTCGGATCATACAACGTAGGGAAGATTTGTGAAGGGAATTGTATAAGAGAGTGTATGTGTGCTCAGAAAGCCCTAATTCTCCTCGTTTGAAAATGATTCTAGAAAAGCTCTCCTAGAAGATGGGAGATCATATCTATTTATATGACTCGGGATGGCTTGTCCCCCCACCATCGTGTTGTGTAGATGGAAATATTAAAAAATTATAGTATCATACAAAATCTACCCGCAAAGTGTCAGTTGATACGAGATGGTGTGATGTGTATGTCAAGACGACTCATAAAGAGACATGGATATAAATCTTATTTTCTAATGATGGTTGATGACTTGACGGTCGGTCACTTCTGAGGGATACTCGCAAGACGGGCTTAATGGATATAATTTTTCAACAATACCTTAATTGTTTTACATCTACATATTTGGATTTAAATATAATCACTTTCAGTGTCATTGGATCAGCCTCATTCAAATATTTTATTTTGTTACTGAAATCATAATTTGGATGATTTTAATTAATATTCATAAAATATGTAGACCAACAACAACAACAAAGCCTTAATCCCACTACGTGGGGTCGGCTACATGAATCCTTTTTCTCCATTGTGTCCTATTTAGTCTCATATTTTCATTTAGTTCTAGTAAATTAAGATCATTTTTAATACAATAAGCCCAAGTATTCCTAGGTCTACCTCTGCCTTTCTTAACACAAGTCGAATTTAAAGCATCTACTCTCCTAATCGGATCATCTAATGGTCGACGTTTAATATGACCAAACCATCTAAGACGACTTTGTCTAATTTTGTC